TCTCTGACACACTTCAGCCCTTTGCCCTTTGTTGCAATCACAATGTCAATTTATCACATTAGGCATTCTTCTGTCCTTCACTGACCCTCCACCTTTTCAACAATGTTGTTCCCTTCCAAGGAACGGCCTTGCCTACCTTCATGTCCAAAATAAGTGACATGAAGCTTTGCCATTTTAACCTACAAGGAACACTCTGGCTGCACTTTTTTCAAGACATATTGTTTTTTCTTTTAGCAACCCATAGGATATTCAGTATTCTTCTCCACTGCCACAGCCCAAAAGTATCAATTTTTTTTTCTACCATCCTTATTAATTGTCCAGCTCTCAGATGCATAGCAAGTGATCCATGGCCTGAATCAGGTGCACATAGGCTTTAAACTGACATAATTGCATCTCAGTAATTTGGGGAAGTCCCAAATATATAATACCTGGTACTAGGGATATTATGGCTAATGTTAGATGAATCTTGGCTGAAAGCAGAAAACACCAGAGGAATGTCTATCTGTGTTTCATTGACTATGCAAAGGCTTTGACTGTTTGAATCACAAAAAAATTGTGGCTGACTCTGAGGAGAATGGAAATCCTGGAATACTAGATTGTGCTTATACGAAACCTATTCTTAGACCAGAAGGCAGTCACCAGAACAGAGCAAGGAAGCATTGCATGGTTCAAAATCAGAAAGGGTGCATGCCAGCAATGTGTCCTATCTCCATACGTTTTAAATCTATATGCAGAACAGGTCATCTGGGAGGGTGGACTCTATGAGGAGGAATGTAGCATCAGGATTGGAGAAAGACTCATTAACTTGCACTATGCAGATGACACAACCTTGCTTAATGAAACTGAGGAAGACCTGAAGCACTTGCTGGTGAAGGTCAAGGCCTGCAGCCTTAAATATTGATTGAAGCTCAATATCAAGAAAACAAAGACTCTGACCACTGGACCAATTGGCAGCATCATGATAGATGATGAAGAGACTGAGACTGTTAATAGCTTTAGTTTGCTCAGTTCCACATCAACACTCTTGGTACCAGCAGTCAGGAAAAAAAATACATTGGGAAAGTTCACTGTCAGGGACCTCTCCAAAGTGCTGAAGAGCAATGATGTCCATCTACAGATTAAGGTGTGCCTGATCCAGGCCATAGTCTTCACAATTACTTATTATGCATCAGAAAGCTGGAAAATATATAAGGCTGATAGAAGGATAATTGATGCCTTTGAGCTGTGGGATTGCCAGAACAAACAGGTTCATCCAAGAGAGGGTGAAACCAGGCTGATCCTTGGAGACAAGAATTCTGAAGGTCCTGAATGTTCATCTGACATACTTTGGGCATGTTGCAAGGAAGGACCAATTCTTAGAGAGGGGTGTCATGCATGAAAGGGTGAAGGAACAGTAATATGGGTTGATTTTGTAACTGGGTTAATGAGGATAGGTGTGTTAGGGTTCAGATGTGTTGCACACAGGGTCACTATGACTCACAAGTGACTCAACAGCACATAATAACAACAACCACCACATATAATACTTGATATTTATTAGGTTTTACTGCCTCTGAAAACTAGCTGGAGTATATGCTATGAGATTATTTCCACTCAAGGATACTTCACAACACTATCTATGTAAAGGAGCTCTGGTGGCTAAGTGGGTAAGAAGTTGTGCTGGCAACCCAAAAGCACATGGTTTGAATCCACTAGCTGCTTAGCACAAGAAAGCAGCATACATAAAAACAACATACAGTATACCTGTTAATACTACTTTTCCCTCATTGTCACTAATGCTATTTCAGTTCATAGCTACCCTCTCCAGATTTCTCAGGCTGTGATTCTTAGTTGGAGAAGACTGCTCATCTTTCTTCCTCAGAGTCAAGGATGGATTTGAACCACCAGAGACACGAAGTCTTTTGGTTATCAGCACTGTCTGTTAGGTACTACATTATGAGAGCTTTTTTTTTTTAGCATCACTGTTTTTGTGGAATAGTCAGGAATATGTGAATGCATTGTAAAATCAACTCGGCTTTTCACAGGCAGGCAGAGGGCTGAGGCAAACGATTCACATGTTTTGTTGCAAAGAGCCAGATTATTTCCGTGTAAATTAACTAATTACTTCAATTTACTTCTTCATTTTAGTTGGATAGGCTGAATTTCCCTTTCAAATGCATGGCTTTTTCCTTCTTAGGATGTTGCCTTCTTGAATGGTTTTTAATCTTGAGTTCCCATTTCACTTCCCATTTACCATTTCAATCTGAGGAACTAAGAACGACTTTAATACTGTTTCCACAGTTACAAGCCTCAAGTTAATCATGGCCCTGGGAATTTAATTCTCAAGTGTGTACACAACCCTCCTGACTCTCAGTTCCCAGTGTGGACTGTTGGCTCCAAACCCTGCCCCTGGGGGTCCAGGGCACTGCCTGCCTGCTTACCCTGCTTGACAAACACTGCTGCTGAGCCAGAAGTCAGAGTGTCCTCATCACTGTTTTCTAGAACTGAGGAGCCCATCATTGGCCTCTTCAAGGAAGAGAGGTGGACAGAGTCTCTAATATAATGTCCCACAACTAATGACAGTGTCTGCAGCCTCAAAGAGCTGAAAGCAGACTTCTACAGGAAAGTAAACCCATTCTCACAGCCACTGTTAGACTGGGTTTTCTAATCTCTTGGGTTAGCAGGTGGATGCATAAAGCATGCTTTCAAAGTATAATGTTGTTTTTCTCATTAATACATGTCAAAGCCCTATTCATTCTTCCAAGCTTAGCTCAAGACTTACTTCCTGTACTAAATTATATTCCTAAATGTGGAACACATTTTTTTAGACTTTAGAAGAGAGCAGAGAATAATAAAGCAAGTAATTGTGATAAATTTTATCTAGAAAAAATCATTACTGATGGTGTTGATGTAACTAGGTACAAAACAACAATTCAGGTATTGCTAAAAGTTTCTTTCCCCATTTCCAAAAGTAAGTTATATTGTGCACTTTGGCTATGAGGTAGAGTTTTTCAAGTGCTGTTCCCTTTTTTGGATCTCAAGTTGTTTCAGAGCTCAGCTCCAGCTACCTAACATGTTGTTGTTATGTGCCATCAAGTCGTCTGTGACTCATAGCAACCCTATGTGCAGAAGCTCTGAAGCCTGCCCTGTCCTGAGCCAGTCTCATTGATTCCAACATACCTACCTTCCTTACTCCAGATGTTGTTTCAATCCATCTCATCTAGGGTCTTCCTAGCCTGTGCTGTCTCTCCACTATTCCGAGCATGATGTCCTTATCCAAGGACCAGTCCCTCCTGGCCACGTGCCCAAAGTTTGTGAGACAGAACTTCAAAATCCTAACCTTCAAGGAGAAACTTGGTTTCATCCTCTCCAAGACAGACCCATTTGTTCTCTTGGTGGTCCGTGGTATGTTCAGTACTCTTCTCCAGCACCACAACTCAAAGGCATCAATTCTCCTTCTGTCATCTTTAATTATTGTCCAGCTCTCTGATGAATGGAATGAACAAGCCTAATAACTCTTGCCAAAGGTGTATAACCAATATGGAGTTTCATCTAGATTGACCATCTTTGATAGAAACCACTACATGTTGTTGTGGGTTGTTGTTTTGTTTTGGTTAGTTTTTTGTTACTTCCTTATTTCCCTCTGATTCCTGTATTTCATCTAGTCACTCATTTTTTTCACTGGTTTATATTTTCTTTACTTGAGAGTTCTGTTGTAGGTAGGGAGTTGCACTCTTACCCTAAAGGTCATGTGTCTCTGATACCCTAAACCCACCAACAGCTCCAGGAGAGAAGTATGGGCCATCTCTTCCTAGTTACAGCCTCAGAAACCCAGTAAAAGGTCAGGGAGTTGGTTCTAACTTAACAACAATGAGAAAGAGGTTATGTACAGAAGATATTATATTTCCTAACAAAACTAAAATCCCAAAGCACTATCATTTGCCTTTGAGAGCAAAGTGATAAAAGGTCCTTTCAGAGTTCCTTTCTATACAATCCACTTGTAAAGCAACCTGTAATCTATCAATGTAGATGTATGACTCACTTTATTAAATGGATGGTGGGTTTTTAAATTTCCTACTATGTTCATTTAGTGAATGAAGCATTATAAAAACAGAAGAAATGTGTGAAGAGTTGGGTTCTCCGTCTTGTAAATTATATATCTCAAAAAATTAAAAATTATATTGCATTTTAAAAAGATACAGTAAACTGATTATTGGTTCTAGTACTCATGACTTATGTTATGGTTCTATCATTGAAACCACAATTTAGTTTTTATTGTAGACATTTTTAAACATTTAGTTGCTGTTATTTTTTCCACAGCAAGCCTGACAATTAAGAGCATTTATCCAAACACATATCATTAGTACCACTGGTGTCCTGACCAGATGTGAAGTGTATTGTACCTTTTTCTTTTGCTTTATTCTGGAAATAGGTCAGTATGTACAGGAACAGCCGAGTCTGCAATTATGATTCTTTCATAGTGCTTTCCTCTCTATATGACTGTGTGTGAACACAAGCTGAAGTTGCTTTTTACCCTGAACTACTGGGGGGGAAAACACACCAAAAAACTTGTGACCAGGGATGCTATTCTATCATTAAGATTTGAACTAAAAAAAAAAAAATCATACATGTCAGTAGCATTTTATTAACAGTCTTTTGCATTATTCCTTATAGCTGTGCACATTGCATTATTATACAACACACTTGTAATTTTAACTACTGTTGCAACTCACAGCTGACCCTCCAGCAGGTTTTCTGATGCAGCAAGTCACACAGGAGACTGCCCACCTTTCCCCCGCAGAGCAGCTGGTGGATTTGAATGCATGCCTTAGCTGGCAGCATAATTCCTTACCACTAGGACCATTTAATTTTCACGTACCCCCCAAAACATGTCTTTATAATTTTACTTTTGAGTAAGATGAAATTGAGTCACTGAAATTGTCGTGACAAGTCCTCAGTCTGGAATTGAATGAGCCAGATCTTAACATAATATGGATTTCTTTTTGTCTTTGTTTTTCCAGACACTTCAAATGGATGTAAACAAGCTGAACATAACCTTGCTTCGGATATTCCGCCAAGGAGTGGCAGCTGCCTTGGGACTCTTACCCCAGCAAGTGCACATCAATCGCCTCCTTGTAAGCTATTTAAATTTCACATTCAAGAGTACAAATTTTGTTTTCTGTTAAGGGTTTATGCTTCTACAGTGCAAGGCCAACTCTAGCCTACTACCTGTTTGTAAACAAGCCACACCCTTCATTTGCATATAACCAGCAGTTGCTTTCATAGTGGGCACAGAATTGGACACCTTATCCCAATACAAACAGCTTGCACATTATTCAAGGGTTTGTTTGGGGTTTGAGGTTTTTTTAATAGAGAACAACTTCTTGAATGATATTTTCTTTTAAACCCTATGTACATCATATGTGAAAATGTAATAGTTAAAAATGACTGGCTGGCCTGTGAAGCTTGAAATGTTTACAATCTGGCTTTTCACAGAAAGCTTGCCAACACTATTGTAGTTCAAGACTCTATAATCCTTTGTAATTATAATCACCACTTGTTGCAACTGAGTCCATCCTGGTTGGTCCATGTGTGTCAAAGAAGGACACTGTTCCATAGAACTTTCAGTGGCTGATTTCTCCTAAGTAGTACATAAAGAAGATCAAAGGAATACATAGTCACTGTAATAAAAATAAATGTTTTACATAATTACTGTAACAGTGCGTTTGAGCATGTTGGATGTTGTGAAGATGGCACACGATAGGGCAAGTTTCCAGTCTATTGTTCATAGGATCATTTAGAGTCATAGTTGACTCAGTGGCTCCTGATGATAACAACAGGTCACTAAGTCTTTCTTTTTTTAATTTTTTTTAATTAATTTCAATTAACATTTACAGAGATTTTGGATTTCCATTCATTCATTGTTGCAGTTTTATCCCTGCCCCCCCCCCATTTCACTCTTCTCTTTGAAAAGTAAAAGTCCTTCATTGGTACACAATCCCCCCGCACCGCTCTCACACGCCCCCCCCCCAATATACTCCACTCTGCAACTTTCATTCCAGACTCTTATGATAATCATACTGTTGTTGCTATTAGGTGCCATCGAGTCATAGACGACTCATAGTGACCCGATAAACGAAAGGCCTGAGCACTGTTTGTACATAGAGTTTCCGGAGGCAAGCCATTTCAGAAGTGGATGCTACTCCGGCTTCCAGGCTTGTTTTAGTCAGGAAGCTCCAGCAAATACTGTCCATCATGGGTGACCATCACCATGTTTGGCACATCAGTGTCCCAGTGCTCGGCATCACAGCAACCACGAGTTACCTCTGTACAGCAATGCACAGACCAGTGCTGTACAGCCTAGAAGAATGTTTAACAGGAAAACAATGTGAACCCGGCCTGAGGGCTGCAGATTAAAATATGATACTCATAATGCCCTAAAATATATTGCTTCTAAACTATTCTCTCCTCATCAGTTTCAATGCAGTATACATAATTTATCTAGTTTTTCTCATTCTTACCCCAACCCTGATGTCAGTCCCATTCTACAGCAGTGACACTATGCAGTGTTTGTCCTTTTGTGACTGAGATATTTCACTCAACATAATGTTCTCCAGGGTCATGCATTTTGAATAATATTGCATGAGTTCCTTGTTTTTCAATGCAGCATAGTATTCCATTATGTGAATATATCACAGCTTCTTTATCAATTCATTTGTTGTGGGGCATTTAGGTTGCTTCCAACTCCTTGCTTTTGTGAACAAAGCCATGATAAACATGGGTGTGCATATATCTGCTTGGATGTCGTTTATGGTCTCTTTAGGGTATATTCCCAGTAATGGAATTGCTGGGTCAAATGGTATCTCTATTTGCAACTTTTTGAGGAAGCGCCACACCACTTTCCACAGTGGTGTTCAGTCTCTCCACAACCTTGCCAGCATTTGTTGCTTGCTGTTTTGTTAAATTTTGCTGTTCTTACTGGGGTGAGATGATATCTCATAGTTGTTTTAATTTGCATCTCTCTTAGAGCTAGGGATTTTGAACATTTCTCCATGTGTTTGTTGGCCATCTGAATGTCTTCTTTGGTGAAGTGAGTGTTCATATCCTGTGCCCATTTTTCAATTGCATTATTTATATTTATCATGTTGTGGTGCTCAAGTATTTTATAAATTCTAGATGTAAGTCCCTTATCTTACATGTCATTACCAAACACTTTTTCACAGTCTTTGGCTTCCCTTTTTACCCTGTTGGAAAAGTTTTTGGATGTGTATAGGGATTTGATTCTTAGAAGGTCCCATTCATCTATTTTATCGTCTCCTGGTTGTAGATTTTTCAGGATACTTGGAAGACTGTTTATATTGTGGATTAGGACTACTAAAGTTCTTCCAAACTTTTCTTTAATGAAGTTTATAGTCCTTGGTTTTAGTCCTAGGTCCATGATCCACCTTGAGTTGGTTTTTGTGTATGGAGTGAGGAGTGAATCTTGCTTAAGTCTTCTGCAGATATTTTTCCAATTTTGCCAGCACCATTTGTTAAAAAGGTCGTTTCCCCACTTAAATGATTTAATCTCCTTGTCAAAAGTCAGTTGATCATAGGTAGATGGGCCGATTTCTGGGTTCTCAATTCTTTTCCATTGATCTATGTGTCTGTCATTGTATCAGTATCATGCTATCTTAACCACCATGGCAGTGTAGTAGGATTTTAAATCAGGGAGTGAGATGCTTCCTACCTTTCTTCTATTTTTAAGGAGTGCTTTGATTATTCGGGACTTATTGCCATTCCAAATGAAGCTGGAGAGTGCCTTTTCCATCTCATTGAAGAATGGCATTGGTATTTGAATTGGGATCACATTGAACGTGTAAATTGCCTTTGGTAGTATTGCTGTTTTCACAATATTGAGTCTTCCTATCCATGAGCAAGGGATATTCTTCCACTTCTCCAGGTCTCTTTTTGTTTCCTGTAGTAATGTTTTGTAATTTTCTTTGAATAGATCCTTTGTGCTTCTAGTTATATTTACTCCCAAATATTTTCTCTTGTGATTAGCTATTGTGAAGGGTATTGTTTTTCTTAGCTCCAGCTCTGTATTCTCTTTGTCACTGTAGAGAAATCCAACTGATTTTTGTATGTTGATCTTGTATCCTGCTACTTTTCTGAATTGGTCAACTATGTCCAATAGTTTTCTTGCTGAATCTTTAGGGTTTTCTAAGTATACTATCATGTCATCAGCATAGAGAGATAATTTTACCTCCTCTTTCCCAATTTGGATTCCTCTTATGTCTTTCTCTTGTTAGGGCATTTCTTAAGGTGCCTCTGTGTGGACAAGAACCTCTACAATTTCAGGATGGCTTTCTGTCTGAGCTATTATTCTCTTGCCTCTTGCCATATTGCAAAACTCTTCATTCAGGCTGGAGAAAGATGATACAGCAATTTCAGGTGCCATATCTAGACATTGCAATTGTAAAAGCAGTACCTTCCTAAACATATTAACATTTATGCCAGGTCAAAAATGCCTCCATTTTCACCTGTGTCCTGTGGACTCAACTCATTGCCATCAAGTCAGAGCCAACTCAGAGCCGACCCTCCAGTAGGTTTTTAGAGGCTGTAAATCACATGGGAACAAATTGTCCATCTTTATCCCATGGAGCAAGTGGTGGACTTGAACTGCCTGCCTTTGAATTGACAGCACAACTCCTTACAGGGGTAGAGAGTCATCCAAAGTAAAAAGTAAAAGGTCAGCAAAAAAGAAGACAACCCTCAATGAGATAGATTGGCAAAATGGCTAGAACAATGGCAGAGGGGGGAACCTCTACCATTTCCACTGGTAGCCATGTTTGTTAACCATTCTTTCCACCAAGGGACTTCATCTTTTTGGCACTTGTTGTTGTTGTTGTTGTTGTTGTTGTGTACCCTGAGTGTAGATTTGTCCAATGCAATGTGTATGTTAGTTTCATGACTGCTACCATGGATGATTCATGTGGATCCATATGAAATGAAATCTTTGACAATTTCAACTTTTCTCTCTTTGTCATGATGTTGCCTAGTGGTCCACTGGTGAGGATTTTTGTTTTCCAGATGTTGACACTATTCGCCAAATATTCTTCATTATGAGAAAAACTTCTCTCTTATCCAAGGTACCACTTTCAAGTTGTTGTTGTTGTTTGCTGTCAAGTTGAGCATGACTCATAGCGACTCTATGAACAAAAGAACTAATGCCTTTCCATAACTATCGTCATTTCTCCAAGTTTACAGAGTTCCCAGAGGCATATGGTTTAGGAAGTGGATGCCACTCCTGTTTCCAAACCTGTTCTACAACTGGGAGCTCCATCAAACACTGTCCACATTGGGAAACCATTCTAGTAATTGATAACCCAATGGTACAAGGTTCAGCATTACAGCAAACCCAGGTTACTTCATACAGCACATTGACAAACAGTAATGTACAAAGTGGAAGAGTGTTCCTCCAGATATAACAGCACTAGTTTCATTTAGCAGTGGTTAAGTGTCATCAAGTCAAATACAACTGAGAGTAAGTTTTGCACAAAAGACCTTAACTCTGTTCTATAACTAACATCATTTCTGTACAGAACTCTGTGCTATAACTAATATAATTTCTATACATTTATAGAGTTTAGAGAGTTTTTAGAGTTTAAAGAGTTTGTAGAGGTAGTCTCTATTTAAACCCCTTCGAGTATATCAATAGAATGAAGGGAAATATATTAGAAGATTTTTAGTCTAATATTAAGATCTAATATTTGATGATGAGGCTCAAATAGAATGCCAGGATCAATAGTTTTGAAAAACCAAGAGAAAACTTGAATGAGATCTAAAATGGACATGAGATAAACCCAAAATATAGGGGTTAATCTATCAATCCCCTCTGTCCTTTTTCCCCCCACTTTCCTCACTATCTGGGGGAATTGGTGTCATCCAACTTTATCCCACATGGACATAAATGTAGATGTGAGCAGAAAAAAAAAGGCATATTCACACCAGTTGATCTTTGTCTTGAAAAAAGCTACTCTTTTAACATTTACTAGAAAAGGTGCTTTAAAATAATCTTACAGTTCCAAAAGTTTCCTTCTTAATTTATGTTGCAGTAGGAATGCAAACAATTAGTATCTAATTGTTCTGTCTT